TCCGCCCCGAAGACGTCGGTGTGACCACCGGAAACCTGGCTCTGGGCAAGCACTCTGGCCGCCATGCGTTCAAGACCAAGCTTGAGGAGCTCGGCTACGGTGGTGCCGCGCTGTCTGACGCGCAGTTCCAGGCCGCATTTGCCAAGTTCAAGGACCTGGCCGACTCCAAGAAGACAGGCGTCACCGACGGCGATATGCACGCTTTGGTCGCCGATGTACGCTCGTCGTCCATGGCCGGCGGTGCCAGCCAGAGCGTCACACCAGCCCCCGCTGCCACCGAAGAGCTCGTAGGCAACAACGACGAGCCTGTCTCTGCAGAGGACTCCGCCGCCCGGTATACGCTCAAGCACATGCAGGTGTTCACCGGCGTCGGTGTCACACCCACAGCCACAGTCACTCTGCACGATGCTCAGCAGAACACCGAGTTGATCGACGTGGCGGTCGCCAAGAACGGTCCGATCGAGGCCACGTACTCGGCTATTCAGCGCATCGTCGGCATCGATATTGATCTGCTCAACTTTAGCATCTCGGCCACCAGCAGCGGCCAAGACACTCTGGGCAAGGTCTCTGTACGCATTGCCCGCGCTGGCGGCGTCGACAGCCCGGCTGCTGGCCAGGGCGAGGACTCTGCAGCGCTGGCCTCGTACGGATCGGTACCCAAGTTCTCGGGCGTCGCGGCAAACGTCGATATCATCACCGCCTCGGCCAACGCGTACCTCACTGCTGTAAACCGCCTGGTTAGCCACGACGAGTCGAACAACCGTGCCAGCCACAAGCAGCGCAACGTCGAGATCTAAGCTTTTTTTTTTTAAAAATAAAATAAATTAAAATTATTGCGCAACAATAAATAAAAAAAAATAAGAAAACAAAACGCAAAGAAAGCGTTTAGCTTGTCCATGATGATTTATATGTATGTGGATCATCGTAAATGTACGCTATCCTCCCCCCCTCCGCATATACTAAATGCTAAATAACGGTGCCGGAACACGGGTATAAATACAACTTGATGCACTTTTTTTATTTCATCCTTATTATTTTCAGAGCGTAAACACTACGACGAATACCGCCGCAGATTATCTGGAAGCTGTAATATAAAAAAAGGTACGTGTTCTATTGGAAAAGCTGGCTGTTCGAGTATATCCCGTTGCCATACGAGCCGTACAGCTCCCTGAGCAACCCACCGATGATCGACAGCTCCTGGACCAACTCCCAGCCGATCATGACCTGTGTGTAGTAAAACACATATCTGGTTCTGGCAACCGCGCGCTGCACTAGCGCCGAGCTGTTGCTATTATGGTTGCTGGCGGCGTCCAACGCAATGCGGTCGAGTCCTAGTAAGTCGTCCATGGCCTCGGCCACGCGTCGCTGCGCAGCATAGATGGGCGGAAGCACCGCAGGCAGCGGCGTCTTGAGCACAAGCGCAGACGCAAACACGTACATGGTCAGGGACACCAATGCATCGCGATGTTCGCGCTCGCTAGCGGTCTGTCGCAGCAGCTCCTTCTCGACAGCCTGCCGGATCGCTGCGATATCCTCGTCTTCGTCGCCACTGCCGCTGTAGCTTCTGTACGATGCGGGGCTGGGCAGCGGTGTCGACGACGACGACGTAAACATGGCCAAGCGGTTGTCCATGCCAAGCTGCTCACGCTCCATAAGCACCGTCGACGCCAGCGCAATGGGAAGATCCAGCAGCGATAGCCTGCTCTCGCGGCTGCTATTGGTGGTATCGGACATCTGATCAGTGCATGCAGGCGACACTGAAGACGGTGAATCATCAGATCCAGATCCAGATCCAGATCCAGATTCTGACTCTGACTCTGACTCTGACGAGGGCCGGCCAGGCAGCGGCGCATGCTCGATAACCAGAGCCATAGGCATGGGCAGCATGACCCAGCGCGCTGCGACCATCGCGTCCAGCATGCGCTGACATGCGTTGATGATACGCTGGTACTTGTCGGTCGGGAACGGGCCCTTGAGCCTGGGCTCGTTCAGCGTATGACCGACCAGCGCACGGATCTCGACCAGCGCGCTCTGCAGCTGCAGCTCGCTGTTCAGGTACTCCCTGACAGTGGCCACAGCGCACCACTCGCTGGTCTTGCTGCTGTCGCTGCTCCACAGGGTGTTCCACAGCCGCTCGTAGAGCACAGCGGCGGTCAGCACCCACCAACTCAGCGCCTGCCGAACGCGCACGCGCGCCTCGTACGGCCACACATACAGGGTTACCGCCATGCCGGCGAGGGCACCCAGCGCCACGGCCAGAGTGCGCCGGGCAGCCAGCACACCAGCGCCTTCGCCCCGATCCTCCCGGGCCACCCACTTGTTGACCAGCACGACGCCAAAGGTGATCAGCGCAAACTGGCCAATCTTGGGGTAGCTGCTGCGCAGGATAAACCAGAAACACGGGATCGAGAAGGCCACCAGCAGCAGATAAGTGAGCCAGGGGATGCCGCAGCCAGCTTCGTACGCGACAAAGGCAATAAAGCCGCCGGAGCAGGTGCCCAAAACGCGGTAGGTGCTGGTCAGCGCAGACCCGCCGACGGTTGGCACCATGATGACGGCTGCAGAGATCACCATCCACTCGAGTCGGCGCTCGCGGAAGCCCCAGTACGTGTCAATGTCCCAGTAGCACGGCAGCGACAACAGCGTCACCAACAGCGCGTATTTGGTGGCAAACTTGACGTTGAGCCGCCGCGTCCACATCAGCACGTGCCAGATCGACCTGGACAGCCTCTGCACAGTCGTCGTCGGGCGCTGCGAGTGCAACGACCGCGGATCCGCAAATTGCGCCATCTCGTAGCGCCGCTCCAGCTCTGCTGTTGCGCCCGTGTCGCATAGCACGCGGAGCTTGCCCACTATCCAGCGACCAAACGACTGCGCCCGCCGGTAGATGCGCCGCGGCTCCCGTAAGCCCCTGGCCAGGGTCTGCATCGGCGTCGGCGGTGGCCGGCACAGGTCGACAGCGGCCGGCAGCAGCATGTCGACCAGCTCGTCGGCAAACTCGCGCAGGCTAAACACAAAGAAGTGCACGATAAACAGCTGCTCCTCGACCGACGCCGAGAGGCCAGCGCCCGCCTGGGCAGCCTCCTCAGGATCGGCCTGCTCGTGCGCCGCCAGGCCCTCGACGGCCACGCCGTAGTCGCGCTGGAAAGCACCGATGGCGGCTTGCAAGTCGTTGCGCAGGTCCTCGACATCCTCAAGCGCACACGCCTGGCCACCAAGAACGCGGTCGGCCAGCTCGCCGACGCCCATAAGTGCGCGGTCGCAAGCGTCGCCCAGCCGCATGACCGGCGCCCGGATCCTGCCCACGACATCGGCGTACGCCAGGTCATTGGCCGGAGCCTCGGTCCCAGGGTCGCTGGCGCGCAGCTCCAGGCCGCAGCTCAGCGCGCTTAGGTGCAGCCCCAGGCCGTCCAGGCAGTTGATCAGCGCGTCTATCGACTCGCGCCTGGCCCATGCGCCCCACTCGGTTGGCTCCAGCGCAATTGCCCTGGCTTTGGAGCGCAGCTGCCCCAGGCTCTTGCGGTGCGCGCGTAGCTCGTCCTTGAGCCCCTCGGGCTTGGCCCCGTGCAGCTTGACGCCCCTGTGGTGCCCCAGCGCTTGTGGGCTGACGATTGGCTGTAGCAGCTGAGGCAGGATCCGGCGAAACGACGCAAACGTGCGCTGCAGCTGCCCGCGCAGCTCGCTGGCGGCCGTGACTGGGCACACAAACCAGCCGACTGCAAAGCTGACGGCCATGCCGGTCAGCAAGGCCACCAGCACGTGCTCGGTCTTCTTGCCAAAGCTCTCGCCGACGTCGCCGACGTCCTTGTAGTTGACCACCGGCGCCTCGCGCAGCATCACCAGATACAGCGCAATGTTGCTGATGGTCGTCGCCGTGTTGACCGAGTCCCTGGTCGCGTTGGCCTTGAAGAAGCCCAGCAGCCAGCTGTACCCGAACACAAACACGCCCAGGCTGACCGCCTTGCTTTGCCACGCCAACGGCACCACCGCCGCGTCTGCCCCCAAGGACGCCGCAGCCGCAGCCGCAAAGGAGAAATGCAGCAGCTGTGCCACGTACACCGCGGCGTACGTCACGCCGCTGGTCACACACACCCACAGAACGCCCACGAGCAGACACTCCACCAACGCGCTGCGCGTCTTGGCCGCATGGAACCAGATCGCCGCGTTAGTCACCAGGTGCGGCGACATGTACTCCGGGTCGCCAAGCCAGTCGCGCAGAAACGGAACAAACGGAAACAGCGCCGCCAGCGAATACCCCACCACAGCCTTCGCCACGTCCATGTGCTCGAATTCCGATAGCCACCGCCACTTGCTCCCTGCCAGCACAGGCTCCGATGCAGGGGCCTGTCCAGCGCCGCCCAGCAGCCGGGTGGTCTCGTCGGCAACGCTGGTCGCAGACGTCCTGTTGGTGTACGACGTCAGCGACCTCTCCCAGGCCCAGCCCCGCGGCGTCGTCGCTGTCGCTGGCGCCGATGCCATGTCCAGCCACAGTAGACGCCGCCCCCACGTATCGGCCGTCCCCTGCTGGTGCCCTCTTGCCGCGGCCCCTCCCTCGGTCACGCTGTGCCGAACATGCATCCGTGGCACCGCTGCGGATGCCGCTGGAACCGTCGCATGCAGGTGCTGGAAGATCAGGCTCGCTCTGTTGTTGCTGCTGCTGCTGGCGCTGCTGACCCCTTTGTTATCCCTGCCTACGCCACCCGCTTTCGACAAGTCCATTGTAAAACATACAAAAAAAAGTGTGTTAATTAGATGCGAATAGTGCGATGGGAAGAAAAAAATAGTCGTCAAATGCAAAAAAAAAAAAAACTATAACAAGAATAAAATTTTGTCACAAACTAAACAAGCAGCACTTGCTTTTTTTTCATTGTGCTCCAGTGATGCAACAGTGATGTCGAGATGGTTAAATTAATTGTCTCAGCAAACGTTGATGTCAAAGCTGCATCCCCAAAGCAAAGCACATACACCCCGCGGCCATTAAAAGTAGTAGCAAAAAAGTATGTTTCCTGCCGGGATCGAACCGGCGACCTTGTGCGTGTAAAGCACACGCGCTAACCAACTGCGCCAAGAAAACGGTGATCTACTAGACTGATTATCAGATTTTTTCTTAAAATTTTACGACATGTTAATAAACGTACGTATATTATTAATTTAATGATTATATGTTTGTTTTTTTTACGTTTTAACTGGCGGCTTTAATTTGAGTCTGTCAGGAACAACCAGTATGGCAACATTTTATTTACCAATACACACATTTTAAATCAACGGTACCACTGCTTTTCGGCTAGTAATGTCTCTGGATCTATTAAATAAATTATTCTCACATGGAGCAATCTTTGCATATTTTCATGACCATATATATATATATATATGTATTTGGCAAACAAACATAATTATCACATGAAAACTACTTGTACATGTTTGATTTCGAGATATGCTTTCTGTCAACATACTAAATGAAAAAAAAACCAACACAAAACAAAAAACACAAGACTAGTTGGTGTATATGCTGGTTCCAGGCACAGCACAGAGGATGGCGGTACTGATGGCAGTCATAAAAAGAGCACCGATAAACCAGCGGATACTCCTAGCACGAACCATTCTTGTAGCAGTCATGTCAACAGAAATACGAGTAGAAAACCAAGCCCTACGCCAACCACCTACATGCGAACCCACAGTACCCCAGTTCTGCCGCTGCTGCTGCTGCTGCTGCTGCTGATTACTGGGATCACTCTGGTTGTTTGCTGCCGAGCCAGGCGCCTCTTTCATAGTAGGCGACTGATATTTGCGCATAACAGCCAACAACAAATCGCTTCCGCCAAAGCCCACAGCCATGTTCCACCAACCAATAAACTGAGGCAGTACCATCCAGACACGCTGAGCCTTTGGCTGATGATCCAACAAAATAAGCGCCAGAGGCAATGCAAACCCAAACCACAAGAAAAAGAACGCGAAAAGTACACGTAGCACACAATGATCGCGAGTCACGTTTCTGGACACTGCATCGGCGATGAATATCGGGAAATAATAAGTATCCAGAACATCATAAGCATATAGAATAGCTTCTGAAAACAACGACGAATCCAAAGCCGCTCCATCGTGTAGAAGCCGCTGCTCGATATCAGTCAAAATCTCTGGCGGCCACGGCATATGATAGTACAGATGATGACGAGAGCTGCTAAACGCACCGCCAAGTCCACGACCCGCGGTACCTGCATTCATGTACTGAGCGGGAAGACCCGCGGACCCGTCAGGATCACCGGTGATCGGCGTATTGAGATGATCGCGCGACATGGTCAATGACGGCGTAGACCCCAGACGACCCTGCTGGTTGTCGTACATGCTGCCAGCACCCGACTGGCTGCGGTCGCGTGAACCGGGACCGCCGTAAATGGGGTCTGTAGCCGATACGCCGTATCCCTGATGATACGGGTCGTCCAGCGTCGGCCTTAGCGCACTGATACCGCGAGACCCATAAGGCCCGGGTTTCTGCGTCAACATACGCTTAAGTGACCCAATTTTCCCGGTACGTCCAGCAGTACCTCTAGCGCGAGCCGACGCAGCAGCAGCGGCAGCAGCAGCGGCGGCGGCTGAAGACCCAGATGCCGACGAATGCGACTGCCAAAAAGAACCAGCTCCTTGCATCAGGTTCGGATCCAAGGCAGCACGGAAGTAACGCAGAAAGATGGTTTCTGCCGACGACTGGATCTGCAACGCCATACGCGAGCTCTGTCGATGACTGCGACGAAATGCTCCCTTGGAGTCCTTGCCCACGGACCCAGGGCTGCCCATGCCAGCGTCAGCATCCTCGGGATAAAACACCCGGTCGTCTGCACCCCTGCCTCCGCGAGACAAAGACTCCATGGCAGCCGTGTGCGCAGCAACCTTACGACTGGGGTCAAACGGGTTGTTGCTGCCTGACGACGTAGGCTCGGCATCCTTTCCAGCAAAAAGGCTGTTGCGCGCGCCATAACCATAACCATAACCATCGGTGCTGGCATAATGACTGCGCGCCTTGGCATGACGCAGATCACTGTCATAAGCAAGACACATTTTCTCATGCGTGCGCGCAGCCATATAAAACTCCAGCCACCGTCTAGCCTGCGGCTGCCTAACCGAGCAGTGCACAGCAAAATCACGCAACGCCAACGGCGCCCTAGTCCTCCGCGTCAGCACCTGGTCCAGCGAGGGCAGACCACCGGTCCGCAAATTATGGTCCTGCATATACGCCCAATCAATCGCACCCACATTGCTTTTCTCGCTAAACATCGGGCCAGTCGATACCCCAGCGCCATTAACAACGCTACCGGTCAACTGGCTCAGATGTCGAGAACTACCGGGTTCATTAATCGACGCCTGATGACTCAAATTAGCCGCGCCCATTTCACCAACCGCCATCTCAGTAAACGGCATCAACCGCTCTTCACGCTCCAGCTCATCAATGTTTAGCGGATCACGCACGCCCTGCGGCAGTGCCGTCGAAAGTCGCTGCCACGCCTGTGCTCCAAAATACGTCGTAAGCGGTGCACGGTCATCAGATGAGCGTGCGGACATTGTGCGGAACCCATCGCTTTCGGACCGCCCGCGTGTCCGTGCTCTAGGTGCATTAAGGTCGTCCAGACTATGGATATAATCCACCTCTTGACGTGGTGCCTGGAGCTGGTTCGAATGCTGGTATGGTTTTAGCTGGCTGCTCGGTAGCGGTACCTGGTATGCCAGGTCGTCGGAATTGTCAAAGTTCATTAATGAGTTTTAAATTTCAGCTAGATGAGAATTAAAAAAAGCGTGATAATGATTGTTTGATGCTGGCCGTGAATAAATAGAGTGCAAAATAATCGTGTTTTTGTGGAGTGAAGAAAATAAGACAAGGAAGAATAAAAGTGCGAAGGAAAGGTATGTAGTAGTGGTCAGACAACAACAACAAACAAAACGGAGGAAGAACGAAGGGGAGGAAGGAGGGAGAGGGGGGATATGTGTTTTTAGTTTAATTGCGATAGAGAAGAGGGAGTGTAGGGAAGAAGCAAAAAAAAAGAAAAAGAAAAAGAAAAGATAGACTAGCTAGCTTTAGAGCTCAGCCATATATTCTGTTGTTTTGCAAGGAAAATAATAAAAAAAAATAAAAATAAACCTGTCAACAAATCTGCAATTACAAAAACAATGGCCCATGGTCTTTCTTACTCCCCAAAAATAGGTATGCAGGTCTCGGGGGAGAAGAAGGAGGGCCAATCACACCCGCTTCCAACGCACAATGCCATCATTGTTAAGAGAACAAGAAACAAACAGCAGAGAGAAAGAAAGTGCTGTGAATTAAAAAACATGTCGCGGATTAAATCAACAATGTCACGTGTTGCTCATCACTCCAGAAAAGTCATATGGCAAAAGGGCGAAAACAAAAGTGGTTGGCGAATATTTCTTGGCTCTTCATACAAATTCCACATTTCTTTGTTTTCAATTTCCAGTTTATCACTTTGTAATTTACTACACATACGAATTTATCTTCAGACAATCTAAAACTAACATCTACAGCAAATGAAGTTGTTTTTCGGGGGCAGCAAAGCGACAAAAGCTACGCCCAAAGAAGCCGTAGTGAGTCTTCGCGAAAACATCGCCATGCTAGAAAAACGCGAAGCACATTTGCAAAGCAAGATGGACAACGAGGAACAAGTAGCACGGGCAAACGTGACGAAGAACAAACGAGTAGCTCTGGCCGCACTGAAGCGTAAAAAAATACTGCAAGACCAGTTAGACAAGATAATGGGATCTCGGATGACTATCGAAACACAGGTTATGGCTATAGAGGCGGCAAACGTCAATATGGAAACGTTCAATGCAATGAAGATAGGCACAGAAGCTATGAAGAACATTCACAAAAAACTGGATATTGACAAGGTTGAGGACACCATGGATGATATGAAAGAACAAGTGGATTTGGCCAATGGTGTATCGGAAGCTATTTCGCAGCCGCAGTTGTTTGGCGCCGAGTTGGACGAAGACGAGCTTAATGCGGAGCTGGAGGGTTTGGAGCAAGAGGAGCTGGATAAGCAGCTGCTTAATGCAGAGGCGGCTCCCGTGGCGCTGCCAAAGGTGCCAGTGGCAGGTGTGCGGCAGGGCCTGTCCCCGCTGCACCAGGCGTCGCCAGCGCGGCAACAACAGGCGCATGAGGAAGACGAGGATGACGAACTGGCCGAGCTGCGCGAAAGCATGGGAATGGCTGCGTAAGCAATAAAATACAAAGCAACACCCATTTTTTTAAATAATATTTTCTATTTTACCAAACAAAAAACTAAAGAGATACTCATGCAATCGGCGGCGATTTGCTGCCAGACATTGTTGATGTCGAGCCGATGGTCTTGCTACGGTGGAGCATGGCAAGCGGAATCGACGATGGCCTTGACCCGCCGCCTACGCTCAGTGCCGGCGACAGCGGCGACGCAGAGGCCGAGCCGGCCGCCATTGGGCCGCCGCCTTTCTGCTGAACCGACACCACCAGCTGCGGCCCGCCCGAAGAAGACAAAGAAGAAGAGGCAGTGGCGCCAGCCGCTGCGGCCTCGCTGTGCATCGACTGGCGAGGACTGGTAATTGCATCGCGAATAGCAGACCAGTTAGACGCAATGCTAGAAATACTGAACCTGCTGGTCTGTTTCTGCGATGACGACGCCGCAGAAACCCCAGAGACTCTAGAAGCCATGCTCGCGTCTTCCTGCAAGTACCCGTCCATCGACAGAACCCGCGCACGAGGCACAACGCCGTCACTAGCACAGCTGTCGTCCTTGGACAGCCGCGACGGTGGCAACGCACCGGCAGCGCCAGAAGCATTGGCAGCAGCAGCAGCAGCAGCAGCATTGCCTTCAGAAGCTATGAACCGACGCAGGTTGCTCAGCTGCCTCACCAGCAATGACTTCTCTTCATCAGCTTCCGCCAATTCCATACGCGCCTGAATCAACGCTTCCTCCGACCTCTGCGACCTCTCCAACCCATACTCGGCCTCCTGCCTGGCCTTATTGCTCTCCGCCTCCATCTTACGCAACGAGTTGTGCAATTGCTCGTTTTCTTCCGCCAAATGGGCCCTTTCGG